GGCAGCAGCCTGTTGCAAGGAGCATCCCTCGCTCGGCCCGGGGAGGGGCTACGGGGAAAGTTTGGGGTTGTGCGTGTGGTGCTGTGTGCGGTACAGTGTGCTGTGCTGTGCTGTGCGCGCTCCCTCCTTCCCCTCCTCCCTCGGAAACAACGAGCCAAAGTCCACCCTGGCCGAGCGGCGCCTCCGAAAGCATCGCTGTGGCGGGGCGCGGGGCCGGGCAGCCACCAGGTGCCACGCGTTCAGCGCCCGGCGGGAGGGAGGCGAGGGACGCCGGGCAGGGGCAGGGATGCAGGTTGCGGGCAGGAGGCAGCGGCGAGATCCTCGCTGTGTAGTCGGTACTGAGGAGGGCTTTGCAGAAAGCCCTTCTCCGCCGGCCACACGCCCCCTTCTTCAGGCAGAGGAGAATGCAAAGCTGGTCACATTTGGTCTTTGGCAGGAGAGCTGAAGGGGCGGAGGGTTAGACCTTCCTGGTCGGAAAAGTTGGTGTTGTGCAAATGAGGCTGGGATCAGAGAGAAAGGGCTCCGAGTCCAGGTTCTTGGCGCGAATCGGCTAGCTCGTATGAGAGCAGCTTAAAGAGTTGAGGAAACTTTCTTCGCAAGCTTTCAAGTTGAAAAGCACCCTTGGTCAGGCTGAGGAAGCATCTGCAGCTGGTGTGTGCATGCTCTTCCTGGATGGAAGGAGTAGTAAAGCGTCGTGAGAGTGCGAATGAAATGCATACGCGGATGCTTGGATCCAGGGAAACAAGGCAGAACGCTAGCAAGTGAGATGGGACCAGCGTTTCTAAGAAAAAAAAAACCTTTTGTTTTGTTCTTGGCCCCAGGCTGTAGCTTTTCCTCCGCTTCCAAGCCCAGAGAGAGAAGCAGGGCTGGATGGGACCCCCCCCACAGAGTCTCATCTCCCTGGCTGAGGGAGACTCAGTCCTATCCAGACCACCTCAAACAAACCATCTCAACTCAACTCACCCTCTTTCTTGGATTTAAAAAGCAAGCAACCTGGTTCCAAAAGCCAGAACCTACGGGAGAAGGGGGGGGGGGGGGGGGGGGGAAGGAAAGCAGCGGGGCTCTGTTGGCTGCCATATGAGAAGGGCATGGTTTTCAACAGGTGGTTTTCAGCCTGTGGTCCATAGACCCCTGGGGTTGGCAGGCTGCGTCTGAGGGGTCCATGAAAGATGACGGTAATGGATCAAAAGTTTGCAGATCCCCCCCACACTTACCAGTCAGAGGGGTCAGCGAGATTTTTTAGGGGTCCACAAATGAAGAAAGATTGAAAACCACTGTCCTAGCTCATAACTTCCCTTTGTATAGTCCCCCAAACTAAGACTAGACTTCATCCTACCTAGCCACCCAGAGTCACTGCCAGCAGGCCTTGGGAAATGTGACTGTTGAAAAGGAAGCTGTGGGCTAGGAGGATGCATAGCCTCCTCATCTAGTAGCCAACAGGCCACTGCTAGTGTTTTGGTTTTTTTTTCTTTTTACTTTGGTAGTAGTTTGCTTTCTTTTTAAAGCAAAAAAAGAGGGTGCAGTCTTGTGTTGAGTTTAGAGTTGCAGACAGAATTGACAGTTTTCACCCAGTGTGGCCTCTGAAAATGCTCTACAGCCATGACCAAACAGAAGTGCACAGCTGCAAAGCACTTTAAAAGGACCCAATTCTGTGAAAATCTGAACCTTCGTTGCAAGAGGGTTCAGATGAAGACACACCAAAACAGAGCAGCTTCAGTAATTTCTGTCTGCACCATAGATGATGGTTGTATGGGATGGTTTGGGTAGGGAGGATCCTGCCTCAGGCAAGGGGTTGGACTCACTGTATGACTTTTTTTTTTTTTAATTTGGGAGTTAGTGAGATCAACACTGCAGGCTGTTCCTTTTCGGAATGAATCCGGCCTGTGGTTCAACCCTCAAAACTCACTGAACATCCTATTTCAAAATCACAATTGAAAGGGAGAATTACTGCCTTTGCACAATGTAACTGACTGCTGTAATTCATAGCTGCACATAGGTACAGGCCAACATTTTGGTTCCTTGCCTTCCTGTTACAAGTCAGATGTGTAACCAAATGAAAACCAAATTAAATGCATCAGAAATGAGAGAAATCACCATGAGAGTAACAGGCCTGTGCCTCATACCCAATGAAAGTTAAGCATCAGAAAACTGCCAGGATCAGTTGTTGCATAAAACAGGCCCAAGGTATGGCTTGGCTCTTTTCACAAATGAAAAAAATAGAGTTGAAATGAGAAATATTTTTAAAGATTTGAAAGTGATGCAGAGGGATATTTCTTGGGAGGGGAGGCGATTTCCCTGGAAAGACAGGAAAAGCTGAGAGAGGTCTTACAGAGGCCAGCAATAAGACATAAAACAAGTCACAAGCCTCTAGACTTGAACCTGAACAGAAAAAAAAAGAGATGGTTGAAGAAAAAACAGACAAGAATGACTGTACAGAGTGTCACAAAAATTAGAGGAGGAACCAGTTTACTCTTTCAGGAAGTGGTTATCTACTACATTTCTTAAACTGAGATCAGTAAAGCTATGGGGTTTTTAAAATATTTTTCTTCAAATAACCAACTTTATTTTTGCTAAAAATTATAGGATGTAAGCAGCATTTTAAAAGAGTTACCGTAAAACAAATCAAAGATTGGCTTGAAGATGAGCTTTTTATATCCATTTACTGAAATACAGCATCCTATTCCACATATGAAAACCATTTTGATAGGAAAGGCAGGCAAGTCTGGGATGAAATCTTCTGACAAGCAGCCTTACACACATGAGATATTATATAAAATTCACTACTGTGTAATTCTTTCCTGTAAAGCTTTTCAAAATTGTGGGTCAAGCAACATGTGCTGAGGTATGTACCTGCTTCAACAAAAATTAAGTGCGTTTGAATAAGCACTTCTCCCAAACTCCAGATCAAATGCCTGCAATTGTGAAAAGAGTTCTGGCAGCGTCAGACTTACAAAGAGTGATATGCACTGTCATATAATCAGAACCTCAACATGAAATGAAACCTTTAATTTATGCCCATTTGGGACAGTGAGTTCTGCCCCAAGTCACACAAGTTTTATTCAATATGATCAAAATGTAGCATGGTATATGCCTACTAAGTATTGTTACTGAGAAACTTGTTAAGGCTGAGTTAAGTTTGCCTATAGACATGAAATCAGAAAGTCTTGTAAAACGATAATCACTTACCTCAAAGAAAGAAACCCGAGAAAGTATGATTATTCTAACATAAGGCTCATGTTTTACAAACTCAAACACTAGAAATCATGTCAAACAAAAATAAAATACCGTAAGCCCCCTTACCTTTGCCCCAGTACTCCCACCACCAAGCATCCTATCCAGCTCTACTTGACCTGTGTCTAATACCTGTCTTAGTTCTCTTTAATTGTGTATTCCTTGGTGCCAGATACCAAATTGAAAAGAAATTATGCATTTCAAGTTGGACTTTCAAAATAATCTACATCCACATTAGGGGTTGTCTGATTATGTTGTACAGATTGCAAACCTATATAATGTAATTGATAAAAAAAAAAAAATCATGCACGGACAAAGCCCAAGTGTTTATATGTAAGGCCTTGTTCACACCCGCTTTTACATGGGTTTTGTTCAACCGGGTTAAACTGGCAGATTCCGACATGGATTCTCTTCTATTGGTTGTGACAATATACCATAAATGTAACTCACCTATGGCCAATAGCTCTGCCATGATTTTAGGTGAAGGACAACCTTCACAAAACCAAACGTTTCATTAAGGAATGGACAAAACTGAATAACATATTCACAGCCAAAACGTTGTATCCAATTCAACATCAGAAATTCATTACAGAATGATGGATAAGATCTAGGTGGATAAGATGGGTATTTGGACTATGCAGCTATTATAATGGTCTTGGAGAAAGATGCCTGTAGTTGTCTTATGCAAAGAGAGCTGATAAAATGCTTAGTTAAGACTTTTTTTTAAACTTAGAATAAGGAACCAATAGAATCTTTTTGGGGAAAAAAATCAATTTCCTACCAATATGTCGGTAATAACACCTGGATAGGATCATGCATACTTTCCGCAGTTTGCCAAACCTCAGTGAGTAACACCCAAAAACTAACAAACATCTTTCCAGAAATAGT